GCCCCGTGCCCCCCGTGGCCCCCCCCCCCGGGGGGGGGGGGGGGGGGGGGCTGCACCGCCGGCTGTGCCCACGCGGTGGCAGCCCAGGCCGCGGAACGGCCGCTGCTCCGGCTAATGAGAGTCCCAGAAACTAATTACTACACATCCGCGCTGCGGAACTCCCGAGGACGGCTCACACCGCAGCAACCCCGCGGGCAGCGCCGGGCTGGGCAAAGCGCAGCCCCCCCAGTGCATCCCCCCGCACCGGTTCCAGTCCCCGGGATGCTGCCGGTACCCGCAGCCCCGCTGCCCAGCGCTGCGAGGTGCATCCCTCCCCCGCCCCCGGTCCCGGCCCCCGCAGCCCCGTTGTGCTGCAGGACCGCCGTGCAAGGTGCATATCCCCCCCCCAGCTCCCGGTGCGCCGTAGGACCGACGGTGCGACGTGCGTGTGTCCCCCCCCGGTGCCTCCCGTCCCCGGAGCGCCCCAGGACCCCGGTGCGAGGTGCATTTCCCCCCCCCAGCCCACCGAGATGTCGTGGTAGGTTAATCCTAGGCTGAAAACAGGTATTTAGGGCTAATAGGTGTGCGAGCACCTCCACACCCGCTCTCAGAGCTCATTAATGTAATACTTTCATGTGTGAAACGAGCATATAAATGGGCATTAATGAGCTCCCGGCTGCGGAGCGGAGGAGGAGGGAGAAAGGAGAACTTCGCAGGGGAGCGGGCAGCCCCCAACCCCCGGGGGGGTCGGCCCGGGGGGGGCCGTGCGAGCCCCTCCCGCGGCGTGCCCGGGGGGCGGGAGGGACAGGAGACCCCCGCCCCCCGGGACAGCCCCACGGACCAGGCGGCTTCTTAAAGTCGGTTTTTATTAAAGAACCAAAATCACGTACAGAGGGGTCTCTCCCCAGAGCGGGCGAGCGTTGTTCTGCCTCCGGAGTCGCGGACCGCCCGTTAAAGTGCTGTTACATCCAGAAATTTACAAGGGGGTGGTGGGGGAGGAAGGGGCCCGGGGGGGGCGGGATAAATATACATCATAAATAAATAAAAATCCAACAAATACTGTACCAAGAGAATCACAGTACATTTATATCCATTGCACATAGCCACTTTTGTTTCCAGTCTGGACAAGGGTCGAAGAAGCGGACACACAGGGAGGGAGGGGGAGAGGCGGAGCGGGGGCCCCCGGGGGGGCGCGGGGCGCAGG